AAAGTAAACTTTTACCTTTGTCCCTACTTTCAAACATTTGTTGTCAGGGTCAGAAATGTTTCACACGCAGCTTGACATTGTTCTCTCTCTAAACTTGTTTATTGGCTAATCTGGGTCAAATTCTTGTTTGTTACCCTATTATAAATATGAAATATGTCCTCTGAAGTCAATACAAAGTTATCTTGGATTTACACTAGTTTAATAAAGTGATATTTATTCCCATAAATCTTTTGAGGGTATAAAAACAGCAAAACTTTCTTAATCAAAAAGTTTCAAACTAACAAAATTCTCTTAAAGGAACTATAGTTAGACTTCATGTCCTACATGGTGTTCAGCAATCTCAGAAAACAAATGAATTAAAACACTCAGATGTTTTAATCCTATGCACAGAATTAATTTTGTTGTGGGTTATATTTTTGCCATGGTCTACTATAGGGAATGGGCAAACAAAGTTTATCAGTGAATGTTTCTGAAACGTTTTTGAGCTATCAGAAATAAGGTTAGGCTGCCACAATGATTTCTGCACTAAGTAAATTAGAAAAGCCGGACATTTAAATATTGCTGAGGATCCAGTTTATCAAATCAGCATGAGTTAGAGCTCAGGTTAAAGTTCTGTCCTTAACCTGTCTGGTGGGGTTTAAGTACTAGAGCAGTGGAAAACCAATTCACACATACCACCAGGATGCCTGCAATACTTTTGTAGAGTGGAGTGAAAACAGAATTCTGTTCAGCCTTAATACTGAACGTTTGGAGTATCATTCTGTTTTTGCTTATATCCTAAGCAAACCCAATTAATTGAGTGGGGTTTGATAGGGAATGAGGGCAGAACTGGGAACCTTGTCTTCTTAGGTTTAAATCCTTGTGCCAAATTTACTGTCATTTACATCAGTGTAAATCCAGAATAACTCCACTGAAGTAAACAAGAGCAAAATTTGGCTGATTTCTTTTGATTTCTTTTTCGAATTAGGTTCTAGTTTAAAACAATAGTCATATTACTTCATGCTATGAGGACAGTCAATGGATCTACTCTGGATTTACCTTGGTGTAAATAAGAGTAGAATTTGGCCCACTTTAGTGGTATTCTCTTAATACATAGTCACAAAATCTCTCACACTGTCTCCTTGGACCAAGTCTGGCATATGCTGAGACTATGTATAGACAATATTACTCATTCTCCATTCGAGATCTAACAGCACAATGTGGGTATGTTTAACTGCATTAATTGTGGACACACACATCATCATCATCAGCCTAACTGTTTAAGTTATTTTGGTTTCTTTGAAATACCAAAACCAAACAACACATATTACAAATCAGTTGTCTAAAAAGTTTCATCATAAAATGTGAATCAATGTTTAAGCAACAAGGGTGGAAAAAAACAAAACGAAACAAACAAAAACAACCAGCCAAACCACAACCCCAAAAACAACAAACAAAAAACCCCGCCCCGACTTAACTCCACAATTGTCCTTCCCCTCCGAAATCTTACGTTGACAAACTTATTTGGTGGGTTTATTTTTAATATATTCTTGAACCCTCACAAACAGATTTTTTAATTGACTCGTTGTACACTAATTTTCAGCCTCAATTTTTTTTTTAAACAGCTGAATTATGCCCTTCCTCCCCACCCCATAAATTAAGGGTTTATAATGGAAATGCTCACAGACCTTTAACTACGGTGGTGCTTGCAGACGCCACCATGATAAACAATGTGATGATGACTATTTAATGACTCTTGATGTAATTACAGCAGGAGTCAGATTCACTGAACATCAATCTCGCTATTGTTATCCAAAAGAAGGATGCCCAGAAACCACTCTTCTCAGAGCCCATCGTTTTACTCCCAAGTTTAGAATTATTGTTTAAATTGGTAAAGAGAGAGTTTACCATCACGATCCAACCCCCTCATTTATTTCTTTTGGACCATGCTTTTGTTCTGGCTCACATTACTCAGATGAATAAAGCTTAGATGGGTTCAGCTTTACTGCCCTGCTTTCTCGGAGCATTTCTGCATTTTTTAAATGCTACCAAATGGTTGTTTTTGGCTCCTACCATTGTCACATGTTGTCTGTAAGCATGGAAATAGTTATGGTAATATGGATGTAAATCACAACTGTAAATACCACATAAAGAAGACTGCCATATAATTATAAAAATACCTAATCGATTTCTTTTTCAAAGACAACACAGCTGTCCCTTTTAACCTTCCATTTGCAGATTCTTTTCTCTCCTGTTTTTATTTATAGGTTGCTGGGCAGTTTGACACAGTATATCAAGATTTTTGCTTCTAATTTCTTTGGAGAAAAAGATATAGTACTCATTTCATCATAAAGAGGCATTAGTTTACAATTTTAAAGAGAATCTAATGCCAACTCTAGAACATCAGCTTGGAAATGATCTCCCTTCTAATGCATTTCAAAAGAATCTGTCAATGGTTACATGCTGCAATTTAAAATTAAACCCTGCCATTGAACTAAAGGAAGGGTCGGCCAAATGGCACATATCATTGGGAAAGCAGCCCCATTCTTGTTCTTGTTCACATCTCTGTGTTATGAAAAAGCACCACAATAGGTTATTATGCTGACCACAACAAAATAAACCTTTTATAACCTACTCTGAGAAGAGCAGGTTGAAAAGTGTTCTGGGTAAACTTATACTACACAATATGCCATGTTAATGAAGGAGTAAAGCCTTACATAGCACTAATGTTGCCAGAAGGGTTTTTACATATTGGCTGGAAACTACCACCATGTGTTTTATCCCTCTCCCACCAGGCTTTGAGTGTTTAAAACTAAGTTATGCAAGTGTACGTTAACTCTCCTTCACTGTAAACTCACTATTCCATCCTGCACAAACCTATTCTTATCACACTTCTATTACTGTAAGATTACTTCAGAAGCACTGACAGTGATTAAACCTGAGGTTACAGACAATGTTGTTCATGTTAAAGAAAAAGAACCCATTTTTTTGGCTCTTTGGAAGCTTCTTGCACTGCTGTTACTTATTCACCTTTTGGGGGGGGGGGGGGGTCTTTGTCCTAAATTATGTCCTGTACTTGGCAGGTTGAGAAGCTTAAACCAAAACAGTAAGAAACCTTTAAACTAAAGAGACTAAATTCCATCCTCAGCATCAAAAAATACCTCGTTTCTCTCTGAAACATTGGAAACAGACAATTACTACAGCTCTATGTAGAACAACGCACAACCCTCTGTATGGATGAATTATGTGTAATCCTCTTTTGCACATAAAGGTAAAAGCAATCTACTAGAAAATGCTGGTGGGAAAGACCAGTCTGGAGCAGAAACACGTTAACTGCTCACTGAGACAAAATTTTAATTGGATAAAAAATAAAAATCCATAGCTGCATTTTTATCAGTCTAAACCAATTAGCCTTTGTCCAAAAGTGTGCCGTTTTATCAGATGTGTCACTTGATTGGGAGGCTGCCATGTCTGCCACGGGTGACTGCATGTTAAAACAATTTCTCTAGGGGGATGGGGTTTATCCCAAAGGTTTCCAAGTTCCAAGGGGCAGGTCATTTTTCATGACCAGCTGGAGCCTCACGTAAGACATGCCCCCACTCCGTTTATTCTGCTGAGAGACTGAAGACTGCTTTGCCCTTCCTGACTCCCAATTGTTTCAAATGTGGGTACACAGTACTTACCATAGGGAAAACCATTTAAAACAAGAATTGGTGTGATATGGGAAAATGGTTGAGGGGAAGTAGTTTGACAGCAGGATGTGGTAGTTTCTATTGTCCCATGAAAACAGGGATATCTGGGAAGCCTAACTTTGTTCCTACTATGTAAACATACATATTTTAGCCTTGTGTGCAAAAAAGATGCAAACATACTCACTCATTTAAAAAAAAAGCAAACAAGAAAGGTTTGTCTTTTTTTGCATACCATAGTTACCTTCTTGATATAGGATGGATGTCATGAACAACGAATGAAAGTTAAGTTGTACCGAAAAAGCAAACACTTTAGCTTTCATTGTGGGGCAGACCTCACTGCTTGCCTTTATTTTGTATTTGTAGTTTGTTCTGACCACATAAAGGAAGCTGGAAACACTGCATACATTTTGCAGGTTCACCTAATAAATTATCTTCATACTTTTTATTCCCTTCATTGTTCTGGAGAAAATAAATATAGAGATAGAAATCAGCAGTTCCAATACAACATGTGGAAAGTTAAAATGCTATGCTAGAATCAATCAATCAATCAGAAAAGCAGTTAGGCCTTGCCCAAACCCCAGTTGAAACTGAGCTCGCAACAACAATATTTAAATCTTATTTATATATGATCATTGGGACACAACCCATTCAGGTCCAAGAAACTAAAAGTCTAGGTAAATCAGTTATCCAAGATCACAGCATTGCATATTTTCATGTTATGATAAAGTTCCTTCAACATTAGGTGGCTGGTGGAATTTCACCTTTGTATCATTTCGACATAATTTTTGTAAGGTGCACTGTGGTTTCTTAAGAAGAGCCAAAGCTTCCCCCCCTTCACATAATTAAAAAAAGAAACAACTAAATGAACAACTTGATGGAGATATCCTTGATCACAGACAGGCTTTGTCTCAAATGCTAAAACAAGCTGTAGTGGAGAATGTCTGCTATGATAAAACTGAGATATCAACTGTTGCTATTTACAAATAGTGCTGATAATGGCCTCTCTAGTATCTTTAATATACTAATTCTGGTATGACAGACACCTTGTCACTATGCAGTATTTGTCTACCAGACTTATGCGACCTACCTTTAACATGGAAGTATTACTACTTGAAATCGAGAATCAAGTTTTCCCGGCAGTTAAATGGTTAAAAGTGCTAACAACATAAGCATGTAACTTCATCAAATCCCTTACAAAAATTAGGATATTTTTCTTGATTATGGTGCCCCATAGTTCTAAAGTAAATCATGCAAAGATATTATCTTGCAGTCCTGTAGATCAGATATCATTAGCCAGGGGAAAAAAAAAAAAAGCTTTCATACACTTACCTTATCCTCTAACCGGATCAGTCTGGCTCCTACAGTATAGTATCCTTTGTCTACCCCTTTTTCTAAAAGAAAAAAATTGTGACAGTCTTCAGACGAAGAATAAGCTGAAACTAAGAAGTATATTTAATTGGATTTAAAACAAAATAGAAGCTAGTAAAAAGTTAGGGTGATATTGATGACATGAGTGCAATAAGTAATTTTTATTTCATAGACTGTATGAGTGAAAGAGGGATTGGGTACACATGTAAAATGTGTGTGTACATATATCTATATGTACCACTTACACAATGTGTGTATATTAACTATATAGTCATGCATACTTTTATATAAGAACACATATTATGTTTTCACATTTATAAATGTGACAGGCAGTATTGTCTACTGGACAAGACACTCACCTGGGCTCTATTCCCAGCTGACCCACTTGTATGACACTGGGCAAGTCATTATATCTCTCTTTGTCCCCATTTCTCTTCCTACCCTTTCTCCGTCTGGCCTGTGTAGGCCCTGATCTTGAACTGAAGGATTGGTACCTAAAAGTGGAAACTGTTCAAAGCAGGGCCTTTCTCTTATGTTTGTATAGTGTCTAACACAGTGGGGCCACAATTCTTGTTTGGGACCTCTAAGCACTACAGTAACAAATCAGAAATAATAATTGTATTATGAGCTGCAAAAAATATTCATAATGGGTAAAAATTTCAAAAGCACCTAACATGGATCGGCTAGGTATACAGTAGCCACTGGCGCATCCCCAGAGTACAAGACATCCATGCCCCTGCCTGTGTGAACTCGTCTCCACCCGCTTCACTTCACATGAAGGCGTCTCCCCTGTTTCTATTCCCATCCACACCCCCACCACTGCCCCCGCCCTCCTGCATCCAGTCAATTCCTCTTCCCTCTCCTTTTCAGCGGCCAAAGGCATGTCAGTGCTAAATCGATACTGGACAGGGACAGTACTCCATGAACTAGGACTGTCTGGCTTAAAACCAGACAAATGTCTTCCCCAGCTAGGTATACTTAGTTTTACTTCAGCTCAGTGAGCTGGACTAGATGGTCTCTTGTGGTCCTTTCCAGCCCTAAATTTCCATACTTCAGTGAGGTGACTTAGGACCTTAAGTCTGCCATTTTCACCCAATGAACTAAAATGCTTGCTTTCAAATTTATGATTTTTTTTTCACAAAACAAAAGCAAAATTTTGCAAATTTCTGATGGAAAACATGCACACAAACAGTTTGCTATTAGAAATGTGACCTTTGCACACTCATGTTTACATTCCCTTTTCACACGTTGAGCTGGATTAGTTGCTTGAGGTTTGGCCCAGGAGCCACAATCTATTTGGTTGTAATTGCCTGACTGGCTGCGCCAAACGGTTAACCAGAAGCTATGTAGCCCCTTTTTTCTTAGTGTGGGTGGCCACAGCAGGGAGCAGCTCTTGTGCATTGTTCTATTATTGTGTGTTTGGGAGGAGGGATACTTATTGGCCACCCCTCTCCCCCAAAAACACGCTGAGATTTTAGGAGGGCAGTGGCCCTGTCTGGCAGCCTTCTCGAGATATTGGATAGGAGAGAAGTTTTATCAAAAAAACTGGGGAGGCAGCTAGCAGGTCACCAATCTTTCCACACAAGTAGACAACACAAATACGGTTGGAGGCATTTTGTGGGCAGAGTGGCCTGGCTGGATCCAGAGATGTGTGCTATTTGGACAATTAATTAATTTAAGAACTCATAAACCTCTGAAACTTGAATTCAAGGTTCCTGGTTTGGCTCATCTCCACCAAAAGTGAAATAATTTGCGGATTTGTTAGATACACAGGAGCATATACATTTAATTGCAAGTATGTAGAATCCTAACATCCCCTAACATGTGTATTAGGACAAATACGCATGTTTTCTAAATCTGTGCTTCACAGACCATTGGGGTGTGGTTGAATAGAAGTGGGGAGATCAGAGCTCTCTATCCCAAATCTTAACTTCCTACCCATCTCAAGTAGGCAAGACCCTATTTACATTTTAAACATCTTTACATAGTAAACACTTTTTGGTAGAACTGCACATGACCATCCTCAAAGGCACAAGTCAACAGACTATAGGAAACTTTACACAGCTTTCAGATGAGATGAAATCCAGAGGCAGAGATGCTATGTGCATTTCTAACATTCAGTAGGGAACTCTAGATTCACAACTTAATCAATAAGTTATACGTAGGACCGGTAAAATGTTTTCCCTCAAAACCTGTTTTTGTATGGAAGAGTCTTTTGCTGAAACAGAAAGTTTATGTCAACACCATATTTTGGTTTTTAATTGAAAAAGTGCAATTTTTGGCAGACAAAATACTGACATTTTTGTGGGTTTTGAGCCCATATTTCTCAGTTTTCACTTGCTGAACCCCCCACAACAATCATTTTTGGGGGTTTCTGCAAAACTCCCCAAAATCTGAAGAAAACGTTTGATCAAAATTAATTAAAAAAATTGTTGAAAATTTTCCTGGGAAAAATAATTTCCTAACCAGCTCTAATTACACAATTCATATATGTACAAGCTATCTAAACAAAAACTAAACAACTTAATAATATTTCTCATTTTAACTACTCCAGTCACTATATAGGAGAGAAAACAAGAAAACAGGAATTGTTTAGACAAACGGTTGGAAAGGAGTGCAGCTATTTTGTGGCATTCCTCTCAAGTGAAGTGAAAGACATGTCATGCAATGCTCAGTCAGCTGTGGCATGGCTTTCACTTTTCTGACATGCATGCTCTGTATCTCACAGAAGGCTGTAATCTTTCCTCCTTCTGGTTAGCCTCCATTTAGTTAGGTATTTCAGCTGTAATTTATAAGTATTGCCCTCTAATAAACGCTGCAGTCTTTTCATAAAAGTAAACTGGGTGTGTAGTCAATCTGGGAAGCCTTGTGGCAGAAGGATGGGCACTAGCTCGAATAACACTGTTCTAATGTATTTAATTTCTATCTTGTTTTTATAGTATTCCTCTACAGTCTTTTCAAAATATAGTATTTCATCCCCCCATTTCTTCTTCTGCATACTAGATTATTTGCCTTTGTAAAGAGTAGGAAAAGGTTGGACAGACAACTGTAAATCGGAAACTTCCTAACTTTTGTGTTTTTTACTTTGTAACTTAAGTAACATTCTTTTAATGTAGGGTTGGTTGCTGGGTGTGCGTGTGTGTGGGTTTTTTTGTTTTTTTTTTTTTGTTTTGGTAATATATTGGCTAACCCAGATATTAACACACAAAAAAGGGAGAGGATGTTGAGATCATTATGAAGAAGGGAGTATAATTAAATATAATGGGATGAAATTACATAAGGAAAATTTAAGCTAAATATCAGGAAAGACTTCCTGATGCTAGTCAATATCAGACAGTGGAGTAATCTTCCTAAGAACGTGACAGATGCCTATCACTTATTCTATTTAAATTTAGACTAGGTAAAATAATTGTAGATGTAAAATAGGAAGCACCTTTACTATCAGATTGATAGAGAATATCTTTTGAGTCATCCAGTTCAGCTCTAGACTTTATCATTATTATATAACATGCTGCTCCTTGATGTGTTCTTCCTCGAGGGTTGCCAGGCATCTGGTTTTTGACTGGAATGCCCAGTCAAAAAGGGACCCTGGCGACTCCAGTCAGCACTGCTGACTGGGCCATTAAAAGTCTGGTTGGTGGCACAGCAGGGCTAAGGCTCCCTGCCTGCCCTGGCTCCATGTGGCTCCTGGAAGCGGCAGCATGACTGGCTCCTAGGTGCAGGGGCGTGCCCCAAATGCTGGCTCCGCAGCTCCCATTGGCAAGGAACCATGGCCAATGGGAGCTGCAAGGGCAGCACCTGCAGGCAGCGTGCAGAGACCCTTGGCTGCCCGCCCCTAAGCCTAGGATCCAGACATACTGACCACTTCCAGGAGCCACTTGGAACCAGGGTAGGCAGGGAGCCTGCCTTAGCCATGCTACACTGCTGACTGGGAGCCATCTGAGGTAAGTGCCGCCTGGCCGGAGCCTGCATCCCGAACCTCCTCCCACAACCTAGCCTCCTGCCCCAGATGAGAACCCCCTCCCACACTCCTAAATCCCTCCCAGAGCCCACACCCCAACCCTCTGTCCAAGCCCAGAGCCCCCTCCTGCACCCCAAACACCTCCCCCCAGCCCCATCCCAGAGCCTACACCCCAGCCAGAGCCTTCACCCCCTACCCAAGCTCTAAGCCCCCTCCCACACTCTGAACCCTTCAGCCCCAGTCTGGAGCCCGCTTCTGCACCCCAAACCCCTCATCTCCAGCCCCACCCCAGAGCCCGCACCTCCAGCCAAAGCACCCCCTCCTGCACCCCAAACCCTCTCACACCCCAGCCCCCTATACTCCCTACCCCAGTCCAAAGCCCACTCCTGCACCCTAAACCCCTCATTTCTGGCCCCACCACAGAGCCTGTACCCCCAGCCAGAGCCCTCACCCCCCTCCCGCACCCCAACCCCCTGCCCTAGCCCAGTGAAAGTGAGTGACGGAGGAAGGGGGGATGGAGTGAGCGGGGGACGGGGCCTCAGAGAAGGGGCAGGGCAGGAGTAGGACCTGGGAAGAGGGCAGGGCAGGGCAAGGGTGTTCGGTTTTGTGCGATTAGAAAGTTGGCAACCCTAAATTCATCCCCCCACACACATACAATACTTGTTTAAAAAACAATGTAAGCTAACATTTCTAGAAGTGTTCGCTAACTTGGGGTATCACCTGTTTTTCATGCACAATTTGAGACACCTTGTTCTTTATTTTCAGAGGTGCAGACCAGTCACAACTCCTACTGATGAAAACCAGGAACAAGAAATCTCAAGTTGGTCATCCAAAAATGGAACAGATAAAATCACTGAAACACTTATGAAACATTTTCTGCAAGGGAATAGTGAATGTCACATCTAAAATGAGGAAGAGAAAAAGAACAAGTGAAATGGGAGAAGATTACTTTTTTTAGTTTACTATTTACTAAAGTACTATGCCATATCACATCAGAACATAATGTACAAGAACATTAAAATATGTTTGTTTCTTTTATTAGTGAGAAAAAATACTTATGGGTAGTAACTCAGTACGTGAGTTCCTCCAAACTGCCTGAAAACGATTTGAGCTGGAAGTGATCTGCTGCATTTTCACAGGATAAGCAATTGGCCTCAATTTTTAACCCCACAAACTATTGCTTTATAAATTATGAAGTTGTTAGAGATTTTTTTCAAATCTATTTTGAAGTATTTTTCTAAAGGTAGAAAAGGGAGAATTTGAGCTGTGTGACCTGTGGAGTAGCCCAGACTGCAAAAGGTACCTCAAAATCTCGGGAAAATATATCAAGTCCAGCACACTACTGTGGGTCACTAGGAGTGAAATGGACTAATAGAAGACACCACACTGTTCTGTCTTCTTTAAAGCAATTAAAAGTCCATGCAGGTAGACTGCTGTACCTGTAAAAAATTATTCTTTTACATCTGGGATCTCTAAAATAATAGATAAGAAAATTATCTAGGGCTTAGTGATTAGATCATTTAGGTCATAATTTAAATAATCTTGACCCCTTCTTCAACTGAGATGCAGAACAGAAGTACACTGGATTTTGTTACATAGCTACGTTGTATTTCTGCACCTTCTCCAGAATGTGCGGATGCCAGTATTTGGCCACGAAGTCATAACAATGTTTATAAAATAACTATGGGAGTAATTTAATATGAAATACTGTAAGTATCCTTAGTAATTATTTAAAGGTGGTGAAATTTGACCGTGTGTGGAGGGCCAAGCTAAGTGGTGAATAGGCTCCCATCTAGCTTTGAAAATGGGACTTACGTGGTGCAAGGGAACTAATTTCACCCAGAAGTGAAAAACAGATTCAGAGGCAAGGAGAACAGCCTGCATCTATATAAAATGATGTCTGCTTAGAGGGCATTTTTTCTCTGCTGGCAGATTTCTTTTTGATCCCACCTTCCTCATCTTTATCCGGGATGGGGTAAAACAGTACTTAAGAAATACTGACTCCCATATCCCACATATTCACCCATTTTAAAAGCCAAATTGATCTGAACACATTTATTAAGCTTCTGAAAGATTCTTCTTCCCCACTTCCAGTTACTGGCTGGAAACAGAATGACACAGAATAAGAAACTCCTGCTAAGTCTACCCAAAAGCAGGAAGAAGTGCTAAAAATCTCACAAGAAAGCCTGTTTCTGGTGAGATTTCCAGTCGTGTTGCACACACATAAGCGGTTCTGATAAGGCACCAACCTTTGGATATTTATTTGAATCTGAACACTGAATCTTTTGTGGCATTATTCTTCCCCTGTGCTCCTGAATGGCCATGGGGATTCTCTGAAGTTGCATTCAAAACCACTGAACTTCATTAGGTGCAGAAGGTGGCTTGTTACTATTTTACATTTTACTATTTGTACCATCTCATAGGTGTTTGTTTTGTTTAGTAAATATTATTGAATCTCCAATTTCACTTTGAAAATGGGACTTAGGCACTTTTCAAAATTTGACCATTAATTATCCAGGATAATGAGGAAGAGAAAAAGATATGAAGTTGTTAGAGATTCATCCATCTCTTCCTTTGACAAAGAATATTTTTTGGCTTTTTAAAATTTCCAGTCTTTAAGGAATTTTGAATGAAAACGGCCAATAATTACTTCTAATTAACACAAACTATTGCTATTATGTATCTGTAATATCTTGTCCATGTTTATGTCATTCACTTGTGAAAGCTGATCTAAAACTAGATCTATAGTATGTATCACACTATGTGTAGTGTTGTCAGTATTGACAACAGAGATTCAAAAGATGTCTGATCTGAAGCTCACTGAGGTCAGTTGAAACATTTCCATTGACTTCAATGGGCTTTAGATCAGACCTTAAGATTCTTTGAATAAAACTGGTAATAAACCACAAAGAAGTCATTGGGAAGGCAACATTCTTTTTGTATTTTTCTTTTCAATACTTTGATTTTCCCTGCATTTTTATTTCTCTTTTCTTTGCCAGCTATGAATGCAAAAATCCGACAGACTCCATATTGCTGACGAGGGAGATTCTCAGTAATGTCTTTGCTTGAGAAGAATGCACTGTTTAAAAATTCCTTTTTAATGCAAGACTGGCCAGCCATGCCTACGAAAATTCAGGGATCTCAGGTATCCAGAGGGGATGGGAAAGTGCGAGTGTCTGTCACTGTCAGAAAGGGGCGAAGCTACAACCATTTAGCTGAATTCACCTGAACGTTGTTGAATAAAATAGGGTTGAAATCAAAACCACTCCTGGTTTTAGTTTTGCAAACTAAAACAGCACCCAAAATGAGGTGGGTGAAATCTGGAACTATTTATCTGGACCTACCCATCATTCTTGAACTTAGGGAGGGGGTCAGATACAAGAAGATATAGATCAGGTAATTTCTGCTCTTTGTCTTGCAAACCCATAACTGAGACACTTAGGTTTTGCAACCTTAAGAACCATCTCCAGTTTCCCTCCTCTCCAGTCAATATTTATGATGCTGTCAGTTCCCCTGTGGGTGCTGCCATATCTGCCTGCAAGTGGCATAACTTTGTAGAGCTGGCAGGCTATGGTGAGTGGCATCATTCTTGGCAGCATCACCTTTGAAAGATGGTTACTTCTGGAAAAGTTGTCTCAGAGCAGCTGTTCAGCACTAAGGCTGTTCCAAGAACCGATTAGCAGAGGAAGTTGTTTAAGTGATGGGTCTGCAATGTTCTTGTCTGGAACAGCAAGCATCACTTCCATAAAATATCACCAGGAGCCCTGGTGATCCTAAGTCCGCTCTCAAATAAAGCTGTGCATCATAATCAGGTCTGAAGATGGACTAACAAGAATTTTTTTCTTTCTATTACTGAATATTTGTGTAAACTAAGAAGTTCTCCAAAGACAAATACAATATGAATGCAAAATGAAGGGCAAGATTTTTCATGACAAAAAATTGTAGCAGACCCTAGTTTGAACTGGAATTCCCTCACCGCTCCTCACCCTCCAGGATGGGGTTTTCAGACCATATCACTAGTGTAGGGACTCACTGCCAAACCTGAGGGCTCCTGGTAGTCCAGTGATACCTTATAGACCCCACTCTTCCCCTGAAAAATCTTTGCTTCTAATGTAGTATCCGCATGTGAGCTGCCTTGAATGGAGCTGATTACAGCTCCCAGACAGCCACTGAGGCAGGTTTGGCCCCAAACGGCTTTATTTCAACACTTGTTTAAATCGCTAAAGCTATTTGAGATCATCCAAATAGGCAAAATAGGTTGAAGGAGCTAGGATTTATGGACTAAACTTTAGTAGCCTTGTCTGTGTGATCTGATGCTTAATGAAGCATGGATGGAGAGTACCCAGCTTCACAAATTCTTTGGAATGTTACCCCACAGTTATGCTCTTTACATTCAAATCTCTCTCTTGCTCTCTGCCTTAGATACAAAAACCTGTCTCATAAAACATATTTCAGTCACCTCCAATGCTATGTTCAAGTAATAGCAGATTAGAGCTATAATTTGTAATATTAAACCCAAAGTAAAAAAACAAAACAAAAAAAAAACCAACCCCAAAACCCTGAAGTCTCACAACATTTTTAAAAACTCACTTGCACAATGCACTTTAAAAAAAATAACTCAGGGTGCAAACATACGTAAATGTGTGCAAGCTAGCCAATTTCTTCCCTACAGCTAAACCACAATTTAGCTATGAGGAAGAAGAGCATACCATATATTCCACTTTGCTGCAGGTCCCCTGCAGTGGTCAGCCTTTAAAAGTTTCTTCCATTTTGCAAGATACTTACTGTTTCTTGTGTTATTTTTCATTTTAATACAGGGTATATGGGTAAAAAATTTCAAAAACACCTATGCGATTTAGGAGCTTAAATTACATTTTCAATAGTAACTCAGACATTCAGAATCCTAAATCCCATTGACTTTCAGTGAGACTGATGCTTCTAAGTGCCTAAAGTCACTCTGCAAAAATAGGACTTAGGTGCTTTTGAAAATGTTGATCCTAAATCCAAACCCATAGAATCTTTCAGAAAGGAAGAGACCTTTTTAAGTGTAAATGACATATATCCAAGCCCAGCCAAAATGGTTTAGAAAGCAGTTTGATATGGCAAATCTTATAGTAAGAGAAGTTTTCAGGCCTCTTTGTCCTGGTACACATTTTTAACAGCTGTACTCAATTTCTGTTTAATCCCAGCAGCCCTACATGAATGCCAGGTAGCAATCCTTCTGCAGCTGTACTGGGCCTATTAACTGCGTCCAGCAATTGACTGTATGATTGGTCTACATTAGTCTACCAACAGTTATTTCCACTGAATGATGGAGCCACTCATGTTACAAAAATATATATAGTCATCATACCTGGAAGAAAAAGACCAGGCCTCCCTAAGGAATGATCCAATCTGAAAAGAAAACAGACAATCATTTTAGTTTGCCAGCAGCAGAATTATCATACAACTTATTGTTTTCTGCTTGGAATAGTACACATGCATATTTTACATGCAAAAGAACAGTAGTTTTAAATCAACAGCAAGGCAAGTGAAAATGCTGGTCTTGCATGACTGGATTTACATACAGTCAGCAGTCTCGCCCTTTATACATTGCTATTTGTTGGAATAAAGCTGCATTGATACTGTGGTTTTCCAGAACACTGATATTTTACTTATTTCTTCTGTTTTTGTTTTATAGCTAAAGCAATTTAGACCTGTATTGCACTGAATCCAGTAACTATGAATATCCAGACAAGATGGCTTCTTAATAATATTCATAACTGTTCCCTGAATCACACAGAGACAGGGTGTTGGTTTTTTTAAATCATTTTATTTTGAAAAAAGTAGACCCTATCCTGCTCAGTAGGAATTTTGCCACAGGCAAAATGGGTGGGTGAAAGATCTGGTTCTGGTGTCCTCAGTAACTCATCAATGCACTACAAAGAAAAAAAAAACAAACCTATGCTGAAAGCCAGAAGTACATTTTTAAGGCAAAATTTCACATGATTGATTCAATAGTTGAGAAAGTATGTGACAGAAAAGTAAGCAAGCAAGAGGAGTAATTGTGGGAGAGGAAAGGGGAAGAAGAGGAGATTCAGATAGACAGGCAAGCACAGGTGAAATAATGATTTCTCCCAACCATGGAGAGTCATAGAGAGGAGACAGAAAGGGAAGTCACTGTTGGAAGAGTTTTTCTTTTGTGAGAACTGATCAGAAATGCTCACAACCTGCAATAAATTTCACACTATTGACCTCAATTTCTTTTCTTCCCTTTTGATTTTTTGGGGAGGATGTTGACTGTGTACAAAAAAAGTTAAAAACTGACTAAGTCAAACCTTGCAGATATCATGATCCCAGCTTGCAATTTTTGACAATTACTGTTCATTAAGTACACGTCTCTTCTAAAGCCAGCCGGCACCAGAGAAATCAAATATTTGATTAGACAGACAGGGCATACCTTCTTTGAAGTTCTTTTATGCGAACCATCATATTAAGGTGTCCTTGAGAGTACTGTTCAATTACATCGCGTACATCATACGGTTTTCGAGCTTGCTGTGAAAGGAGTAATATGAGAGACTGTGTCATACCCCTTGTTTTACATCACTCATTTATATCAGTTGGACCATCAGTTTTCATCCTCTAGAGCTTTTTTTGTTTTGCAAAGTTCTCTGTAATTACTGAAAAATATGTTATTCTTAGAAATTACAGAAGTGCATATTCAGCACAGGAACATGGCTGAGCGATACCCATTACTGTCAATAAGAGTCACACCTTTACACTGTCACATGTTGACAAAAATACTGGAGCGTCAAAGTCCAGTTTAAGCACAGAACGCCACAGTATGTAATTTAATGAAGGTTACATGTGTGACTTTCCTCAGCTTATTACAGAACCATATAGACGTCATTCTGTCATTATTCCCAACAGTAAAGAGAAGCCCAATTCATAAAGCTTGGATCCAGATTCAAACTCTTCCAAACTTTGGGGATGATTAGTGACAAGGTTTTGGTCTAGATCACTGGTGCGATAGGAGCTTCCTCAAAGCTTGACTGTATTTAGATTTGGAGTTGGTTTGGGCCCATATCTACCCACACTTCCAGATGCAAAAAGGAACAACTAAGATTAAAAATAGAAGTGAAGCTACAAAGGCAAAAAGGCTAAAACTACGGGGTTTCTCTGACTTTTCCTTTTTCTAAGCCTGAGTCCAGCTGCTGCTGCTAACTGCCAGTTGCTGGATATGGCTCCTGAGACAGAATTTAAAAATAAGCTTGGGTAATTTGCATAAAAGGATGCGATTATAAAAGGTGCAATATGGACAAATTAGGGGAGGAAAAAGCTGATCTGCTTTTGAAAATATAAGCATTTTCGGAGTCATCAGCCCAGTGGGAAATATGGGGCAAGATGTCTGCCTTTTGGCTTTGGATCAAGAACAAAAAGGTACACGGCAAATCTAGTAATTGAAAATAACTGAAAACAGCTCATTAGTCATCTTGTTGTCTGTTTCCACTCTGCCACAGCTTCAGCCAGAGCCATTAGCATGCACCATTGCACACATGCACAGAACACCTACAGTATGTGTTGGAGTCATGCTTGGAAGGCAGCCATATCGAAATTTCAAATAAAAAGCATGCAACTGGAGTGGAAACAAAGCCTGTAAAATGAAGAAGCAAAAGCTCTTAATGACAAAATATGCTTCTCGTGCTCTTCAGTCAGTAGTTACCTGTAGCATTGGTTTCAACAGGGCTTAGAGTTTTGTTGTTATGTGTAGGGGTATATGTGTGTGTGTGTGTTTAAAGCTTTCAATTTATTGCCATACCACCCCCTCTCCCCCCTGGCTTTCTCAGCTACATTTGTAGTAGACGCTGACACATCACTATTTCTGGCCAGAAAAGCAGGCTATTGTCTTCCCCCAGAGAAACAGTGCCAATATCACTCTTTGGATTGACTGGCAGGGGTGCTTTGAGTGCATTTTGGCTAATTCTCTCTCTCTTCTTTTGGACACTCTCTATTTACAGATGATGCATGGCCCAGAGCCTAAATGTACTAAGTTTTTTATTTTTAAATATGTGTTACCATGTGCATAATTAATTCTCCTCATTCCCAATAAAATTTCACTTCCCCTCCCTAAAACTCTCTTTATCCCTGCTACCAAATCATCAGCACTAAAGCCTTGTGTTGTAAAGTACTCTACATTGAATGCTGCCTGAGCCCAGTCTAAAGTTTGGAAAGAATCAAGATTAAAAAAAATCCCTCTCCTTCTATTCTTTTTCTTCCATTTTTCCAGTAGCCCTCCTTAGACCTGAACATCTTATGCCCTTGCCAATTTCTGGAACAGCGTCCACAGACGTGCCTCAACTAAACACAATCCCTTCTCAAGTTCTGACTGAAAAATACTACAATATACCGTACAACTAGGGGAAGGGTATAATGGAGACCCCCAGGAAAATTTGGCAAATTTGGCAAAACTCCCTGAGCCCAAGTAATCAGGGCCAGCCTTACGGGTGGGCGATGTGGTCAGGGTGGTGCTGTGCCCAAGAGGCAAGGAGTAGGGCAGGCCTGGGGTGCAAGGCCGCAGAAGGGAGTTCAGGGCAATGTGGGGAGGTAGTGTAGCCCGGGAGTGATGGGGTGGATGGATGGGGAGGCAGTGGGGCCAGGGCTGATGGGGGATGGGTGGAAGGCCGGGGGAGGCAGCGTGGCCCAGGGGCAATGCGGGGTACGTAGGGAGGCGGCAGAGGAGCCAAAATACAAGTTTACCCAGGGCACCATTTTCCCTAAGGCTGGCCCTGCAAGTAATTCTCAGACTCCGCAATACTGGGCTTCTTTCCTCCTTAATTTATCCTTGGTCCAGACCATTTGGACTCAGCATTCTAAATCCATCTCAAATTCAGTGTCTTTTGAGTAAAGACATTCAAGCACATCTGAAACTCAAGTCATCTGTATCTGAATTCCCCAAATCTATCTCCAGCTCTGGTCTACCTTAGCCTATGTTTTGTATCCATAAGTCATCTGAATATTGATTTCCCAAACTCATCTAATACACAAAGACTTCTAAGCTAGGATATCTTTAAAAAAAGTTACAAACTCAGGTCCTTTGGTTCTGAACATGGCAATCTCATCTCACATTTCTGACCCTTGTGATTACATTTGATCTTAGCTCAAAAAGCCGAGAAGCTTAGGGCTTAAGTCAAACCTGCTTGAAACCTAGTCTCTCCATATTCTCTCTTTTTTATTTTTTATATCACCTCAAAAATCGTATGAAAACTATTAATTAATGGACTGTGTGGGAAACTTGTAGCCAGATTTTTAGAAGTAATTAGCCTCCACATATTTTATTGAACTTCGTGGGCGCTGGAAGTACTCAGCGCCTTTGAAAATCAGGTCACTAGTTACTACAAGAAGAATATCATAATTAAATTAATACTAAAAGTGCTATTGTAATGGGAAATTAGGGAATTAGACCTTAGGCAGGTGAATGAAAAAGAGTTCCCAAAGTGACAAGCGATTTTGGGTGCTTCAAATTTTGGATGAATAACTTGAGAGTCCTTAAAGAAAGTGAATGTTCAGAGAGTGGACGCTCAGTACTTTCTGAAAATCAGGCCCCTTTAAGATGTCTTAAGTTGGGCATTCAAAACCATTAGTCATTTTGGAAAATCTTGATCGTGATTTTGAAAGCAACATTGTATTATATACTACTAAAACAATTAAATCTATTTTGTTGCACTCAAACTATTCTCCAGTCTTTTTTTCAGACGTTTACTAGATGATCATCACATAAAATTCATATACAACTGCATTGTAGCAGGACCCTCGATGTAGTCTTTTCTGTTTGTTAAACAATACACATGAGCATATTGATAGTTTTATAAGGATAGTTTCAAAAGGAAAAACCTGATAATTTTTAAACTACTCTAGAAATTAAAGGTGCAACAAAAAAAGATGAGTGAAAAAGAATGATGGGGCTGATTCTAGAAATGCTGAAGTGTTCTGGAGCACTACACTGATGTTAACTAGGAGTTCTGTACAATTGTGAAATTTGCCCCTATGTAGAAGGCAAGCATGAGGCCTAGTGTTTAAGTACATAGGCCTTTTCCCAGCCTTGTGCTAAAGGGCCAATTGCACCCACTGAGCATTTTCAAAGTCCAACCCATTGTTCCCCCCCTTGCTTATCTTTCTCATTTGTCCCTCTTGTTAATATTGCTGCTTACCTGAAATTTTCTTCTGGCTACAAAATATTGCATTCTCCTTATGACTTTGACAGCTATTCGGTGTGCTTCAGTTAACCTGCCGAATAAAACACACAAAAAGGAAAAAAAAATAACAGAAGATGACTGTAAGCAATGAACTACAACATGTCCTAATACTTTTCTACAATGCAAATTTATAACACAATATATTTAGCACATATGCCTCTTTTGTTCCATTGCCTTGCCTTCTTCTATAGTTCTGGCTCTAAGTAAAATAAATTGATAAGAGAGACAGTAGAAGCAGGTGTACAAAGATAAAATGTGTGAGGGATTAGACAGGATTACTGTCATTGCATATAACTGGCATCAGTTCGAAGAATGTGAAATGTTTTTAGAACCATGACCACATTCCTTATTTTGCTTTTATTGAATGGTTGCCCATGAGCTCCAGAGCATGGAAATTAAGTCCTTTGAAAAGTGCTTTGATTCTTCGGAGGAGGGGGGCAGGAGGAGAGAACAACAAACCACAAGATTTGAAACAAGCCTAACACAACACACATACATATATTACATACTATGTGTGTGTGTGTATCTGTATGAACAGATACATAGACACCCCCCCACACTCATATATAACAGTTACACACATATATCAATATCATATCACACACAATATATTTAGCAAATATCATCCTCCCAATCATTCAAAATTGGTGAGATGAGCAAAGTTGTATTTATCCTCCCAAGCTGGCGACACTGCTCAGAGGGCAATACTCTATGTTGACATCATCACTGACATCTGAAGACAGCCTTGAAAAGGCCAGCCAGCATGGTGACTGGATCCGCCAAGTATCCTGAAAGCAGAGCCAACTGCCTCTCCCCTACCGTCACTCATTGGGGAAAGGAGCCGGCAGGCGGCCCTGGTTTCTCCTGCTCTGAGGTGCCCCTTTCAGAGTGAAGGCCTTAAAGACGTAATGATTTCAGTGCATTACAAACGAAATAGTGCCCATACCAAAGCAGCACTTTAAAATTGTTCTTTGATTAAATCATTCCTGTTGATTTGGCAATGTACCACAATCTGAGGAATATATTTTTTTAAACCTCATGGAAATATTTTACTGTTATTTCTATCTAAGCAAGTCACTATTTGCAGTTTAAAAATATATATTTATACACAGAGTGTCTGTATCAAATGTGTATATATACACAATACAACCCCCTCCCCAGCAAATTGTATAGACATAAACACACAGAGAGAGCATTGCAGAGTCAAAAAATTAAGCAAGTGAGCTGGATTCCAAAACTTCTTGTGTGTCATCAACAGAATTGTTATGTTCCAATCATTAAACAAGTGCCACTGACAGCTTACTAGTAGTTTGGCCTATAGGACCTTTATTATGACAAAAGGAAAGCACCAAGCTTGGCTCACAGAGCTCCAGCTAAGATTGCATGGCTTGTGATTAAGAGGCAAATGTCTTTTTGTCTGTAAACTAAGTACATTTGATACAGAAATCGTCGACAGTTACTAAACACAATGCAATTTTAAAAAGAGTAGCACCCCAGAACCCTAAACATTACCTACAGGTAATGAGAGCCTGAAACAAACATCTAGATCTGGATATCCTGATATCTGTATGCACCTATAGGCAGGGCCGTCCCTAGCCATTTTGGTGCCCTACGCAGCCCCCCAGGCTGTGTGGGGCTCCAGGCCTCCGGGGGGGGGGGAGACTGGCCCCAAGCCTCTGCGGGGGGAGGGGCTGGAGGGCAGGGGGGAAAGCCCGCCCCCAGCCCCAGGCCGCTCCGCTCCCCTGGCTCCCAGCCTTGGGGGGCTAGGGGGAACTGCCCCCCAGCACTTGCTGGTGGCGCAGCTGAGAGCCTGGGGAGAGGAGCAGGCTGGGGCCAGGTTGCTCCACTTACCACATGGTGAGTGCAGGCCTGACCCCTGCAGAAGTCCTCAGTGGAGTGGGGGCGGGGCTGGAGCAGCACGCAGCTGCGCAGGGCACCAAATTTCCTGGTACCCTACGCAGCTGCGTACTTTGCATATGGGTAGGGACGGCCCTGCCTAGAGGGTTCATTTAGTGCAATACAAGGAAATGGGTTCTGCAAGGCAAAACCAGCTCCAAACAGATACAGCCAATAGAAAATAGACATGGGTGAAGTCCTTTAAGTCCAATCCTCCCCTGTCGGCAAAGATCTGTTCCCTACAATACATTCTCTAGTGCACTGTCAAGTTTTAAATGTCTCAAGTGATCAAGTTGCCCTTTGGAGGCTATTACACAATTTAACAGGCCCCACTACTAGAAAAGGGTATTTATTTATGAAATAAAGTAAGAGAAACACCAGATTTTAATACAAAGACATTCAGTGTGGGATTTTCAAAAGGACTCAGTATTGACCAGACTCTGCTCCTAATGGTAAAACTCCTACGGACTTCACTGGGAGCACGATGGGGCTGAGTGCTTTTGAAAATCCCATCCATATCTGGAGAGCAAATTATTGCTCATATTTAATGATCCTTAGCTGTGAAACAGAAGCACAAACCTATGAAATTCTATTTTAGTGGGAAAAAAACTACAGCATGAAGAGGTGCACATCCAGAGCTGAGATATGTATGTTATCTGAATTACCCCAATAAATCCATAGACGCATACTGTCTCCTGAAGATATACATTTAACTGCTACACCCTAGTGGTGAGTGATATTCTGTTCTTAAAAATCATGTTACCCTTGAATGCTGGGTAACCACACTCAACATTGATTTTGAATAGAAAAACATCTATTGTGGGGTTAGATGATGCAGATGGATCTAAATTGCAGTGCAAGTCATATACCGTACAGTTTTGTAAGGAAACAGGCCCAATGGTGCCAGAACCAGAGGGAGGGGAGCAGGGGACCATGCCCTCCCCCACTTTTTAACATGGACATAGTTTGGGGGACAGGAGGTGGTGTTGCTCCCCAAACTGCAAGCCTTGTGCAAGTGCGGAGTGCCCCCCCAAACTGCACCCTTGCCCACTGGCCCCCAAATTATGCCCAAGTTAAAAAGCGGTCCCATGGCCTTCCCAGTTCCGGCACCAGTGGCCCCCCTCTTCTACAAAGGTTCCCGTGCCCTTGAACAGGCCCGTCTACAAAGTTATGAATTCCCAAGCTTTGATCACTTTGAGTCACAGCCTAAAATGTTTTTTGCAGTTAGGACTAAGTTGTGGCTATTAGGCACTGCAAAGGGGATGATGCAGAGCCTGGCATACAGGTCTTCTTAACTGTTTCTTCTCTGTCCCCCAGTGGTGCACCTGAACTGCTTCTTGTACTGTCCCCACCCTGCACTTGCATATGCACACACCTGCGCATGCATACACACACAGGCAAAGGACAATCTGGTCTTTCACTTAATATTTTGATATGTAAATTACTTGGCCTTAATATAGCCTTCTGCACAAATCTGTAATGACAGACTCATTTCTGTAAACATTATGCGTGTGTAAAGTACCTTTCACCCAAGGATCTCAGAGGCACTCCACAATACAAAACATTAATTAACCTCTTAACCCCTTTCTCTAAGCATTGTTATTATTATCCCTATTTAGATTGAGACACAGAGTTTATGTCTGTTATCCAAATGTACTGTGAGTTAGTGGCAGATCTAAGAACAGAACGCCGGAGTCCTGATTCCCAGTCCTCCGCTTTAAGCTCTAATTCAGGAAAGCATTTAAGCAGGTGCTCGAGTCCCATTGACTTGTTAAGCACATGCTTAAATATTCTCCTGAATAAGGATGCTTTCCTGTAACAAGGCTTTAAATGATCATATGACACACCTTTCATAATCGAGATTTACTTTTAATTAAATTCCTTTATATTTCTTTGTGTTATTTATTCTTGTAATTGTAGCCTTTTTCAGTTAAGGTTTTTTATTTAATATTGTGAATAGTTCTGAAAAAAGCAGCTGTGGGTTACCGTCTAAGAAGAGAACTTTACGGTTTTTTAAAAAGGAATTTTATGTCAGGGATCACTGATGAAACTGGGTCCCAAATGTGTCACGTGTAGTCAATTCATACACTAAAAATAATTATTTGGGGCAATCAAAACTAGATCTGTACTGATTTTTTTCAGTATTCGTTTTCAATTTTTCTATAAAAAAAACACTCAGACCAGAGTAAATACCTTTATGTATATAATATATATATATTCATACCTTTAGGTATACATTCCTATACCTATTCATATATCCTGGGTGAACCCCATAGTGATAATGCTTCAGGGATGACAAGGAAGCCGTGATCACGCCCAGAAACTCATTCATCCAGCTTCTTAACATTAAATGTAAAAAAGAAACACTCAATAGCCCCATCATTAATGCAAACTTAAGCATCAACAGCAAAATTAATATTTACACATTGTACATCCTGTAAACTTTATAGTATGCAATTTATGATAAAAATCGAGCCAGTTGAGGAGCTTCATGGTTGTCACTGTGCTGGACACCTTAGAAACTCAGAGGGGCCAAGTGACAGCAGGGAAAAAATCAATCCAAGTCACAGGACATGAGCACTTGAGCTAAATAAGAATAAAAATCTGTGTTAACTCTCAGCATTATAGTGCCTATGAAACTGTTGAGAAGTTCTGATTCTATCCAGCAGAGGGCAATGACATACATGCAGAGGCTACTGAGCATACTATGAAGTTGTTTTGTAATTTCCTCGGACATTTTTATGTGCAAAACCAAGCAAAAGCAACAGTCCTCATTAAGTACAATGTCCAGGCTGAGTCAAGTTTTGAAGTCGTTATTTTTGCAAGAGTCCCATTCAAAAGTGTGTGGTTAGAATTTTATCATCAGGCAAAAGTGTATTTTTTCACTCTCTCGAACTCAGAAACAGCTGAAGGATATTGTTGAAGCCTTCCCCAAAACATTTGCGTTTTGGCGTAGAACTACAAAGGAAAATTTCAGTCCAAGTGGTGACAGTACTGGAAAGTTATGAGCACATAAAAACAAGAGCCAATAATGGAAACTTTTTTCATCTTTAACTATAATGGGTACTACCTCTGCTGCAGTAATATAGACTTGGATCTATAAATAGACCCTGACATCATCTTTAGGTATGTCCT